AGCTAGAAGTATTAAACCTTGATTCATCCTAATATATTCAGTTTACTGATGGTATCGAAGTTTCCTTCTGGTACGTTGTTAGGCCAACAATCTGAGTAGTATTCTAAGGATGTAGGAAACACTGATTTCTTCTCGTGAAGTAGTGATGTTGTATATGTCATGAATCTACGTTCTTGGTATAAAAAGAAATCTCGTTTTATCAAGACATGTCACTTAAAGACATTTCAGGTATTTTCAATAACCGTTAACAATGTATCTTCCGGAATCTTCCTTGTCTAATATTTATTGTGGTGAGTTTTACGAACTCAAAATTGGGTCAAAATATTTATTCGTCGAAAAACAAGTGTTGGTCTTCTACGTAATTACGTGTTTTATGGTACATAGAATTAATCTTGGAAAATCGTAGTTATCAAAATAACTTGGCAAAATGCAATATTTCTAAAACAACAACATTCCACTCTTTGACTAAAGAAACAAGAAATCGAAATAACGAAATTTCGGAAAATACTTCGATTACGATAGATATATATACAGAATTCGAAAACGAACTTACAATGAAATAAACCCCTATTATTATGCTTCAACTCTATATAGCAAGCTTTCTTCTCCAGTTAATGGTAACACAGGCCTACAATGGTTTAATTATCTTGAAAGTTTTACATGTTCTACAGTAATTCCTGTATGGTGAATCCGAAAATGGTATCCATTTTTCTCCAATACATAAAAGAAAGACTACAACACGTAGTTTCGAGACTAAAAGACGTAGATTTCACAAAAAAATCAGGAAGAATGAGGATACATATTCGTTTGACATCAGTGTTCTTCCCTTTTCTTTAGTTTGTTTGTATTTTTGCTATCAAACATAATAAAAAAAATTTCATTGTGGTAAACGAAATAATAATTTGATCTAATTAAGTTTTTTTCTTACCGATTTGTAAAAAATCCTTACGCGATAAAAAAAATCAATATTATTTTCGAAATCTGCGTAGCTGAATTATGGAAAATCCGTTATTAAAACCAAAACAACTTTTATGAAGTTTAAATTCGCAGGCCTAAAAAAAACTAAATAAAATAGTAATAATAATAATAACTTACTAAATGGCAGTTTTGACTTTAGCATGTCTAGAGCTACGATGTTTATCATCATCACCCAACATGGACATTCTAATAACTCTGCTGCATCTTTCACAAACGCCACAGCTGACACACACTGAGTTTCTAGCTTTCTACGGTCGGGATAAGCTCTTCTGAGTTCTCTGCTTACATTATGTTGGAATTTTTTCATGTCGAATAACTATTAAAGAAACAAACAATCAAAGAGACGTAAAGAAAATAAGAAAAACTCAAATCACAAGGTCCTCTGGAAGTTGTTAAAATGAAATATTCTGTTAAATGTTTTTACTAATTTCTTAGTGCAAAAGATGAATGCACGCTCGAAAACAAAGTCAGATTCCTGGAAACTAAGAATTGTATTTTGACTTTACATATTGTTACGTCTCTGTTCGTTTGTTAATTTCCCGAAGAAATTCTTCCCGAGAAACTTCAGCGATACAAGACCTTTTTAAAATAAAACTAGTTTATTCTTTCTCAATACAACTTTGCAATACACTTAATTTCCACATTCATTTAAACACACGCTATAATTCTCAACGAACGATTCACGCACTTTACTTACAACCGCGCTTGACTCAATTGTCGTCTATATCTTCAATCTCTCTATCCGCTATTGCCCCCCAGTGGCCCAGCGGTATGTCTGCGGACTTACAACGCTAGAATCCGGGTTTCGATACCCGTGGTGGGCAGAGCACAGATAGCCCATTGTGTAGCTTTGTGCTTAATTACAAACAAATTACAAAAAAACTGTCCGCTATTCAATTCCGATTAATTGTCTGGCACACTTATATACAAGAATAGAGGGCGCCTAGCAAATACTGGATTATTTGTGATGTTCCCCGATCTTTCTAAAACTTATTACGTGTTACCAGCGTCACGTGACTTCCGCTGTCGTAACAATATATATACTAGCATGGAACCGCGAAACGTTTGCGATCATATTAGTATCTTTATTGCAAAAGTACTCCTTTAAAAACAGGATTTCCAGAATAATACAAAATAATTCTAATCGCAGACACCGAAATCTATATGTTTAAAATGGTCTAATGTTAGGTAGTAGAATATCATAAGTTTATTTATTGATAGTATTAAGTATAGTAAAGCTTAGCCCTAACTAAACTAAAGGGAGAAAGCGTACACAAATTACAGTATTAATTTATCGAATTTAGTCCATACTTAATAAAGGCTTAATTAATGTTAGGCCTAACACAGTTGGACTTGTTGATAAGCTTTTAACATGCTGTATAAAATGTCTAATAAAGTATATTTATATCCGCCTTTTGTTAAGTGCGCACGCATGCGCATTTAGATAGTAAAGTGCGCGCGCATTTTCAGGACAGACAAAAACTGAGTAGCATTACAAAAGTTACATATATATTTAGACGATTAACCTGTTACGCTATTCATAACCGAGTGTGTTCTATGTAGTGGCTACATACTAGCATTATCCATGCTAGTGTGTGTTCTTGGTAGCCACCAAATTACTACATTATCCAAGGTTACGGGTAATTCGAGGCACGGAAAAGTTTGAAAACTATAGTTACAAACTTACATCGTATAACGATTAAGATGCTGGCAAAAAAACAAACCAACAGAAAATACAATATATATCGAATTTTAGTCTAACATATGCAAGAAAGGACTATATGTAGACGTAATTTGTGCTAATTTATTTCGTAACAGAGCCACCTAGTGACAATACCAAAATTTCAGACCTTATTGCAAAAGGTGTCCATATAATTTTATCTTATTAAGAACCTGTTACAATTATTTCAGTTGTAACAACAGCTTAACTGATGAAACAATGTATTCTAATCTTTATGAGTGGGAACGTAAAAAATGCACACTTAGTTAGCTATAAAAATTGCCAGGTTGATTATTTGTTAATGTTAATAATCAATAAGTGGCAAAAATGATAAAACAAAAACAATCACATGAGGAGATCTCATTTTATATGTAATTTGTTCGTCGAGTTTCAAGTTCTTTGATATATATATATATATATATATAAATTTCAGTCGTTTTAACAGAAATAACAGTGTATTTTATACTGATGATAATGTTTGCATTTAACTACATTATTTCATCCAATCTTGAACTATTTATTATTATTTGCTGTTTCAAAACTAAGCAGTTTACAAAATCAAGTGTCTTTTCGAAACTTCCC